AGAGCTCAAACACCCCTTACCTATAACACATTCACACCCTTTGGTTCCTCAGGCCAATAATTCTGAGGTGGTGGCGGCTAATACTACCAAGAACATTCGGTCATTTATAATATTTTAATTTCGCTATATTGGTGGCAGCGGTGGGATTGATTGTTTGTCCCCCCTGCCCAGATAGCCTTTAATTTTATTATACGCACACACAGCGTATATCACACACACGCCTGGTATATCAAAATCAGTGGATGTTCAAATCCCATTATATACAATCTTGCATAAAATAGCAAGTAAAATCTTGCATAAAATAACAATAGCAAGGTTTATTTTTTGGAATGTTTCTTTTCGGGGGGGGGCTATCCATGATGTAGAATGGATATGGAGAGTCAACTATATACCATACATACTTGAGTATAAGTCGACCCAATATAAGCCGAGGCACCTAATTTTAATACAAAAAACTGGGAAAACTTATCGACTCGGCTATAAGCCGAAGGTAGTAAATGCAGTAGCCACTGGTAAATTTCAAAATAAAAATAGATACCAATAAAATTACCTTAATTGAGGTGTCAGTTTAAATGTTTTTGAATATTTACATAAAACTGTAATTTAAGATAAGACTTTCCAGCTCTGATTAAATCATTATTCTAAGCTTCTTCAATGTAAGTGTGCATGCTATCCTTCTAATAATCACCATAGTTTATTTTACCGATACATTTTTGGGAAAATGCTGTGTATATATGAATAAGGAAAAGTGGAAAAGACTGGTGCCAAGAGAGGAGAGGAAGGCATGTGCTGCACCGAGAGAGGAGAGGAAGGAGAGCTGGGTTGCTCTGTGGAGAGGTGAGGGTCCTGGCAGGAAGGTGTGGGCCTGAAAGAAGTCCTTCTTTAAGCCCCATGCTTTCCCGCGAGGACCCTCACTCGAGTATAACCTGAGGGGGTTTTTCAGCCTAAAAAAGGACTGAAAAACTAGGCTTATACTTGAGTATATACAGTTTATGCTTGATAATACTCATTACTCATATATTTTATGAAAAAGTGGGGGAAAGAGTGGAAAATGTGTTGCCATCTGATAGATTCTCAGGACAGGAAGAAAATGAAACCAAACAAGTTCTGATGAGAACGGGGGGGGGGGCGGGGGGGATGGGACGACTGGAGTTTATTATATATAGGACACAAGCACAGGACTCACAAAGTTCCACTCCTTCCCCTCAAACAGGAAACCTTAAAGAGGCAATGCCCCAAACTTAAACATGGAATCTCCACAAACTCCTGTGGATGTTGATGTTGTTGTATATTTACTAATAGAATTGTAGATGGTCTAGCTTGCTAGGATCATGCTCAGTACGTATCAGAGCTGTCATGGGCATGGAAATTCTGGAGTCTTTTGTTTGGTTGGCTTCATCAGGTCAAGCATTGCTGTGCAAGATCCAGGGCAGGTTCTACCTCTGCTGGTTCTTCAGCTTTGAATCCATGTCTGGGCTGCTATTGGAATCCAGAGAAATTATTATTAATAATTTTATTAGTATTTATTTCTATCCCGCTTTTCTCTTGGGATGGAACATGTTTGAATTTTCCACTTGTGAACCGTGTTTGGGTGAACTGTGTTTGGGTACCCATTTAGTTTTGGGAAGTTGTTCCAGTTATTTTTTATGTATGGTGACTCTAAGGTGAACCTACCACAGGGTTCACTAGCCCTGAGGATGTGTAAATTGTCCAAGCTCACTCAGTGAATTTCCATGGCTGAATGGAGAATCGCAACCTGGTCTCCAGAGTTGTAGTTTGATGCTCAAACTATACTGAGATGTACATTTCAGATTGAAATGTAAGCCCAATGAACATCTCACCCAACCCTCAGGATCTTAGATTTTGATGTTGTTCAAATAGACTCATTGCTATATGCATTGCTTTTGAACTCCTTTTCAGATTAACCTATGCAATACTGTATTGGTACCATCACATATACAATGCATTTCCTCATCACATATGCAATGCATTTCCTTTACATTCAAATGTATTACTCTGAGGCTTACTGAATCTATTAATCTGACCTTGACATGTTTTGGTGCTGTTTTTTCAGTTTCAGAAGCTAACAAAGATTCTTCTCCAGGTTCCCTTTACAGGTGTCTGAGACATTTTGCTAACAATTGATGGATGTCACCCTATTAAGGATGTCACCCTATAACATATTCACCAAAAAATATTTGTAAAGTCATTTTTTATGGTTTGTTTGGACAGATTATTCTTAATGGATTCATTTGAGCACATTTTTGGTATGATAAAATGGATCTTTTGTTATATTGGGAGGCAGCTGTAATTCTGCAAGTCACTGTACTGCTGGATGCTTGAGGAAAAGGACTTCAAGGATTTTCTTCTCCAATATAACAATATAATTCAGTCTAGACAGTGGTCTATTTTCAGTTTGCCAGGAAAAGATTTGTATTAACAAGCTGGGTGACTGAGGTTAAGGTGCCTGGGCTGATAAATTCCACTTTGGTGCAGGATATTTGATTCTGTCTGAAACCTCAAAAAATGGTTGCATAGCTAATGCATTGTGTATGTAACTCAAGGAAGCCACAAACAGGCATTATCTATTTTGGCTATTTTGGGCAAGGATTCATCAGGATTGTTCTTGTTCTACCACCACCCTTAATTTCATTATACAGTGTTTGGGAGAAAAATATAAAAATAAATTAAACCACTATGAATAACAAGAGCAACAGATGCATCAAATGAATAAACATTATTATTTGATTAATTACCTGGTCTTTAATTAAATAAGTGTGAATATTAACAAAAGCTACAGAGATTTTTCTTAAATATTAGACGTGTGAAATTGTTTATCACCCAACAAGAGCAAAAACCTGACAACTGTTAGAAGGAAAACTATCTCATAATATTATTTGTCAGACCCTTTTGCGATAATATACAAAAATTAAAGCCTTAGGGCCCTTCCAGAAAGGTCCAAAATGCGAGACCTGTCTTGCTTTTACCTGAAGCACCCAAATGACACCTCAGGTAAAAGCGAATTAATTCAAAGAAAACTGGGCTTATATTAGACCACTTCCCGTTTTCTACCATGTTTGGAATGGCACTTAGAAAGTGGCACTGAATTGTTTTGTTCCAGACTGGGTGAGAAGGGTGACCAATCAAACCTTGATTCAAAGAAGAGAAAAAACATCAGGAAGTTCTTCCTAATGTTTAGGATGAATCTCTTTTCCTTCAATTTCAATCTGTTGTTCCATGTTCTAGTCTCCAGATTAGCCAAAAAAAAAAAAAAAGCTTCCCTCTCCTCTATGTGCCATTCTTTTAAATATTTAAACATGATCATAATGTCGTCTCTTAACCTTCTCTTCACCTGGCAAACCATACCCAGCTTCCTAAGTTGATACTGATAGGATATGGCTTCCAGTAATTCTTCACTAAGATTCTGAATGGTAGCAACAAACTTTTTCAGCAACTTGTCCCTACTGCAAAAAGTCTTTGAAAGTCACATCATTTTAGAAGGCTATTCACAATTCAGAATTCATTCTGTTAAAAATTCACAGCTGCTTTTGTATAGAAAACAGCGTTTATTTGCAGAAAACGGCACCATATACATGGGCAATGATATTTCAATGAGAAAAAAATCATTTCTGTTCAGACTGTCATTTTCTGTGAAGAAATATTTAATTGCGAATCTAAAATTGCAAATTGTTTATTTACAGTAAAACAGCATTTTCTCCACAGGAAACATTTTCTACATGGAAATTGATTTCTCCACAGGAAACAACATTTTTGCCATAGAATATTAATATACCATGCAAAAAATGTTAATTCTTCCACAGAAAATGCAACTCAACCATGTGCTAATTTTATGCAGAACAAATGCCAAATTACAGGGTTTTCCCCCTGAATATAATGTAACATTTTATGCATAGGAATTAATATTTCTGTATCAAAACATATATTTTCATACTGTTTTCTGCATAAAATGAGTAATTGTGAATTTTGCACAAACCAAATCTTAACAATGTAAAGATTGTCATGAGTTCTGGATTCTTCTCATCTGGTTTCCCCAGAAATTGAAAACATGTTTTTGAAGCGTTTTTAATGTTCTTTAATATTATTTCCATCTGTTTATTTATAGGCAAGCCTCAAAAGTAGGAACTGACAAAACTATCTCTAATGATTTCTCACATTAACAAACCCAAGGAAATTCAAGGAAGTGCCATAAGTTAATAGGAAACTTGAAGGTACATACATACACACATACACAATCATTAAAATTGCTTTATATGTTACCTGAGGTATATAGACTAGGGATAGAAAGAACATTCAAATAATATTTATAAAATGTATTACAATATTTTAAATGCAGAAAAATATATTTCTGCACACACAAAATCACATGCAAATATTTTACAAATCCCCAACTCATATTTCTGCATTGAAATTTTATTCTCCAGAATGCTGTATCCTGCAGAAAGCAATCACTTGTAAATTGTATACAGAATGAGTCCTGTATTGCGAATGGACTCTGAAAATTGCACAATTTTTCAAAGACTTTCTTGCAGAAAGAAGAAGATTGCTGAAATCAATGATTGCCACTTTTGTTAAGAAATCTAGTGAGGAATTGCATCTCCAGTACAACTATCAAGGGAAGAAATATGGGACAGATTGGCCTTGTTTGTCATGTACATGGCATGTGCCATATATTGTCTGATTGGCAAGCAACCAAACAATCTACCAAGTGTCCATTTATGCTTAACGAAAAATTAAAATAAGCTGAAGTATTTCAACATCATTCTAACTATAAATGCTTTTGATGCACATTTTATTGAAATAAAAGCTCTCTCCAAGATGATCCTCAAGTTCCACCCCGTCATTCACCTTGGCCAAAGATCCCTCCCTGGATCCCTTCAAGTATTCAGGTTTTAAGGGAAGCACTGTTGTGTTCAAGTAGATCACTGGGTTCATTGTTGATTTTCCTGATTTATTAAATTTAATTCAACCTTCCAACTCACCAGGAGCATCTGTCTTGACTAGATTGGGTTTCAATTTGTAATGCCAGTCCATTATTGCCAGCAGACACTGATTTAGTACAGAAACAGCTTTCTTAGAGTCCTATGGAAACAAGAGATAGCACTGTATCTTATCAGTTATACAAAGGTTGCTGGGCTTCAAGAAGAAGCAATAGATCAGTCTGGTCCTATTTTCTGCTGCTTTACAGTTTGGTGAACATACATGGAACAGTGATAACTTCATGTGCCTGATATGTTGCTGCCCATCTCAAAATCTCATTTTTTAAAAAAACATCAAAAAATAGATGTGGAGTACCTTCAGTTGTGTAGATAGTGCTGTTCTTCCATTCTTTAAAAATATCAGACTGGAGTCTTTAAAAAGCAGTTTTCACTACAGGTTCTGGCACCTCTGAGTTTGAATGAATAGTCTGAAACCTATTGGCTAACCCCAAATAAAATAGCTCAAGTGAGTCAATTGCTGAATGGTGGGCCAACATCTAGTTGAATCCTGTTAGTCAATGATCTACTCTAGTTGAAAGTGCTTGCAAGATTCTGGCCTAGGACTTCTCGTAATCATGCTTGCATGGCGATCATGGAGTCTGTTGTCCAAAGTTATTTTCCAAATTCTTGAAAAGTAGTGAGAGCTCAATGGTAAGAAAAAAAGAAGAAAGTTGTAGTGCTAATAAAATGGGCAAACTGAAAGTAATGATGAATATATTACTTAACAAATTAAAACAATTTTACTTGTAATGTTTGATGTCGTGCTGAGCTCCATCCTTTAATTCAGAATCTGATCCTTGCAGTTTGATTTATGTATTGGTGTGTATACATTTCATTTCATATCTTTTCCTTTCCTCTTCTGCCTCAGTTTAAAAATGCTGAGAAGTGAAAAGAGGTTTCCTAAACTATAAAGTAATCAAAGATTCCCCAACATCAAAGTGGAAAAATAAATTTTAGATAAGTTCTCTTGACCAACATGAAATAGGACTTTGACACCACAGGGCATGGATGCCATTCCCTTTTAGTCCCCTGGGTATGACTGCTCTTTCTTTTGTTGAAGATACTAAAAAGAAGATATCCTAAGGACACTTAAGCATCCTACAACAGAAAGGAAACAATAAACGCATTTCCAGCTTTCCTCTTCAATGAAAAGGGAATAAACTCTGCCATATGATACTAAATATGGTTGGTTGGAACATCAGTGATAGACTGGTGCTTGAACTTGCTATAGTTCATGCCTAAATGAAAATAATAGTGAATACATTTATTATAATACTAGCCTACTATAGAATAATTTGTCTTTTACTCACTCTCATAATAATAATAATAATAATAATAATAATAATAATAATAATAATAATAATATTAAAAAGCCTCCGTACTTCCCTAAAAAGGATTCAGTATGCAATTCGAACTGAAAAGTGTGCCAATGATGCCATCATTACAGAGGGAAAATGATTAATTTTCTTGGAAAAGCATGTTATCAGAAAGAGAGAGATTCACTCTGACCAGGAACTGGCATTTATTAGTTTTAAATATGCAGCAATTAAAAAGAGGGCAACCAACAGAATACAAAAGATTGAGCTGGCTGAAAAATGTTGATAGGCTGCCTACAGTACAGTTCATATTCTTTGGCTCTATCAGTGAGCATTTTGGCCTCAAATTCCCTGAGGCCGTGAACAATTCATTGGTTCAAGAGAGCATCTGATGAGCAGCTTGATCCTATAAAAGAACTTTGGCAGCCACAAGGTAAGAGTGGTTTACACTAAAATAGCATCCTATATGCAAAAAGAGAGAAGGGAGAATGGCAGGACACTTTCTTTCATATCCGTTCTTTGAGTTACATTTAGTTGGAAAGCACACTAAATAGTAACAATAACAACAGTAATAATAACAATAATGATGTTTGATGTAACACCTTCGATCCATGAATATCAAATGTTAGGTGTTAAGGGAAATGTGTTGCCACTATCATTGCCCTTTTTTTCTCTTTGAGATACATATTTCAGCAATCGAAAAATCAAAAATTGTCAGGTAGGCACACATCCTAGGCAATGTAGGAGCAATCCACCAAATATTTGCCTCTCTTTGGGCCATATTAGACTTTTTTTCTAGTAAGATTCCAAGTACTGCATCATTCCTAGGGGCAGATGCCTTTTCCAGGCCTAAAATGGTGTTGTGGAGGAAAAAACATAGGAAAACTGTAGCTACATCCCATAGCAGGTATTTTGTGTATTTGCAGGCAAAAATAAATTAAAGATTTTTTCACAGAAAGAATTTTCGGGACTTGTGGTCTTGGATCCCCAAAACAGCCTTGATAAGACATTCCTTATTTAAAGTCTCTCACCTGAACATGGTGAGCCTAATCCAGATTTAATCACTACATCCATGACTAAGGAACTCATCACATAGAAGTCCTTGATGCAGAGGACAGTGGGGAGACCCATAGAACAGCACGGCAAATTGTTGGACAGCGGTGCGAATCTGTTGCATTGCCTGTACCACCTGCTTGCCCATAGCTTTCCAGCGTTTTCCCATGCTGCCCCCATGATTCCTAACCTAAACATGGGTAATCTCCCATGTTTAGGTTGTCCCCTCCTACCATGCTTACTTGATGGAGCCCCACCAGAAACAGATATACGCCGTAGGATGAGATTCAGCCGGCTCCATGCTGGCTGCATTGAGGAAGTGTTATAGAATAGTGAATTTAGGTAATGTGATGAGGTCATGAAACTACATAACTATGTTCCATAACTACAGAACATTTGGGAGCAGTTACATTATTTTTCAAAATAATTGTTTGGTTTTTCCAAAATTGAGGACTCCTGGGAGACAGAGAAATTGTGCTGTTCTCACTCTCTGTACACCCGACACAAGGCAGCATGTCTTGGGAAAGTGTGATGAGCCCATAGTCCAGTGTGGCTCTTAGTGTAAATAATGTGTTGGTAGCTAGCTTTATTTCCTTACTTATTTACTTGATATTTGTGAAGTACATACATTTAGTAAGCCAGAGATGGAAACCAACTTCCTCCTGAACTCCATGTTTGGGGTGCATTCATGAATTTATGACGCACTCACAATTCAACCATCTAACTAAAAACTGAACTGACATCTGCATGCCCATGTCTTAATAGTCTAGTGCAGATAGTATGCATCAATTAGTTGTGGAAAGATTGATACATTTTCCAAAGATAATCAATGCTTTCAACAACACTTGATATACTTCTCCAGATATACCACTCTATACCCTCATAAGTCATGCTCTGTAAAAAGAAATCAAGTGTGAAAATCAATGTGTTTTCTGAAAATATGGCACCAGCTGTCCAAGTGTTCCAGCAGCTCTGTCAGGGCAGCCACACCTGGGTTTCTGAAATCTGCAGATCTTCCATGTAATCATATGGGCCTTTAATAATGTAACCTTATATAGAGAGCTAAAACATTATATTTTGGAACTATGTGCACTGAATGCTTCAAACATTAAAGGCTGGTACTTATAGTCCATACTGCACTATGGTTGGTTTTTGTACATTCTGTTAGATTTAACAGTGTAATTACATTAATGTTGTGCTGGGTTTTCTTTTCATACAGTAACAAATTGTCACCTGATTATTTAAGAAGTAGTAGCAGTTAAATAAAGCATATGGTAGCATAGTCGGCACAGGGTCAGAGTGAATTATGACTCTATTCATCATTAGGTCTATTTTCCAAACAGCATATTTCCTTAAGACTTAGCTGTAAAAGCAAAGTTCTTAACACAATTATTTTAATAGGCACATAAATATTTTGCTTGCCAGAGACATGCTAGCTTAATCAGATTATTTAGGCATCAGGGATGACTTCAAACATTGTGTTAACCTCTTTTTAAAAAAATCTAAGATAAAGATTGTATAAGTTATTTAAATGCTGGTATTTTAAGATAAGAGCTGGGAAAGGAAGAGGAAACGATAGTGTTGGCTGCCTCTGGACAGAATTGATGGCAAAATCATATCCTAACCAGCATCACCTCTAGTTCTTTTTTTCCATTCCTTTTCTATTTAAAATGCTACACAGTTGAAGATACTTCGCAACTGAAAATGGACATCTTGATACAATTAAAAGTAAAGAGTTTTGGTAACAGAGAAGTCCAATATACAAGGAAACAGAAGAATAAAGGCAAAGGAACTGCTTTTATTTTGAAACTCATGCTAGTAGTGGAAGTCAGAGGCAACAACAGAATTTCATTCATGGTCAGATCATTTAACTGTATTTACTGAGGATTTAGTAGCTCACAAGTTTTGAGGGCTTAATAATATTGAGAACTTTAGAAGGAGAAAAGGACTCAATGATTTTCAATTCTTGGTTTTAATAGTATCTTCTGCTGATTTATGAGTGGCTTTGAGTCACAAAGGACTACATGTCACGTCGAGTCTCATGAAGCATTCGTCAATTTCCATTGAGCTTTCTTTATTCAGGAGTTATAGTCAATGTGTGCATGTGCCTTAGCAATGTTACACAAGTTAGGTCACATCTACACTGACCATTTAATAAGTTCAAAGCTTTAAACAGTGGCAACCAAATAAGAAATTGCCACATAATTGTGCACCAATTTCTCAGCACACACAAAGCACTGAAACACATCTTCTTAAACTAAAGCTACTTTATTAAACACAAAACTAAAAATAATATTTACACTAGAAGCTAAGCAGAACAAGAAACATCTCAAGTGTCTACATGGTTCGGTTTTTCGTTATCTAGAATCAGGCACCTCCTTACATTCCACAGTGATGAGATGACGTACGATGTACGACGCAACACAGCATACAACACTTTCCGCACTGAGATTTACGACTCCTCCTTCATGATACAGTTAACCTTTCCACACAGGAATTACAATCTCCGGAACATTGCATTTCACAGCATTACATTTCTAAGCACACAAACACTAACTTTAAAAACTACAATACACTAAATCAAAACACTCACATATTCTTAACAGTCATCTGCACAGCAAAAACACTCTTCAATACTAGTTTGAAAATTAATTAAATGGTCAGTGTAAATGTGTGTATCAGTGGT